AAAAAAAAAATTAAAATTAAAAAAAAAAAAAAAAAAAAGAAATCATCAGAAAGAGGACTGGCAAAATCCTTCCTCTCTCAGGATCCAGTTTCCCATCAAAGACCAAAATATCAATGTATTTCAGATGCATATGCAATCAAGCGCCACGTATCACACATTACTCTGTACCTGACAAACCTTTTCTGTAAAGGACCAGAGGGTTAAATATCTTAGGCTTTGCGTCACAACCGCTCAATTCTGCTCCTGTACTGCAAAAGGAGCCATAGACAATACATACACAAATGGGCATGGCTGTGTTCCAATAAAACTTTATTTACAAAAACAAGTGGTGGGCCGCATTCGGCCCACGGGCCATAGTTCGCCAACTCCTACCCTATGCCAGTTCTCTACATTGATTGGCGTGAAGAGGACGGCGAGCACAATGACGTCAGACTGCCAGGGTTACTCACTTGGCTGACCCTGGCAAGCTACGTACCCTCCCTGTGCGTCCTCCTCTACTACATAAGAATACTACCCAGGTGTAGTTTCTGTGAAAGGCTGTATGAAATAAGGTTATGGATTTAACACAGCATCTTGTACACAGACATTGCTCCAATCCCAGCAGCTGGTACAAACAATCCTCCTCCTCGTACGGTCACCTCTGTTAGTCCATGCAACTCTGTAGGTCATACACTGTCATTTGAAAGAGGAGGAAACAGAGGCTCAGGATGTCACATGACAATCCCAAGTTCACACAACTAGTAAGGAGCTGAGAGAGGGTTCCAAATAAACTGACACAGCGTATGTCCTCTCTTCAAGAGTCAGCCAGGTAATGCTGCTCAGAGGCTTGGATGAGGTCGGAGATACACAACCAGTGGTTTAAGAACAGGTTCTGCAGCTTGGAAATGAAGAAGCCCGTTAGAAAAAGAATACACAATATAAAGTAATTCTACTGTTTTCCTCTCTAATCCCTAAAAGCCCCTATATTCATAGCCAAAAAGATGAAACATGACACACAGATTCACCTTTGACTCATGTTTTATGGGTTGTGAATATTCTAAAAGCTCAGCCTTTCAGGATAATAAAAACAAATGCGCTACCAGATACGTGTGTGGTTGGATGGGAAGGGTCAGACAAGGATGTTTGAAAGAAACAAAGGCATAAGGACAGATACAAATGAGGTGGTGAGAAATGGCCTCACTGGTACGTGGGTGGCAGATCAACACTGAGCCTTTTCTGTTGATGCTTGCAAATCTCCTTGGATAGGGACACAAAACAGCCAGGAGGCTGAGGAACAGCCAACTCATCTGCATACGAGGTTTTAGAATCTTTGAATACTAGAACACAAAACTCAAATCGCAGGCTACTTAATGCAAACACCTCCCCAGCCCTCGGTGCCCCCTTCCTTCTCCCACAAATCTTTTGCATTTATTAACAAGCAAAGGTCCTTACCTAGTGTAACCTGGAATTAGCCTGGCTGGGTATAAAGAAATCTTCTGCCTAAAGAGCTTAAAATACCAATAACCTGGGGGTTAAAAAAAAAAAAAAAGTATCTATTTGGTGTGGGGTAATGTGCCAGGCAGCCATAATAATGAAAATGTTAAGAAGAGTGAAGGAAGGGAACAGCGATGGGAGTCAGCCCTGGGCACGGGCTGCCTGCCGGGCTCCATATTAAACCTTTTTCACACAGTGGCTCATTTTGAACTCCCACAACCCCAGGAGGTACCTATTACTCTCCATGTTATATAAGTGGAGAAACTGAGGCTTCACGTCATTAAATACCGAGACCCGACAATGAGCCCGAGACCAACCCAGGCACGTGAGTTCTGGAGACTTCCTTTTACCCGACCCAGGGCTGGGCTGTGGCATATTTAACTAGTCCCCCAGTGGGAACTTTGAGGTTACTTCCAAGTTTTCATTTCCATTAAGGATTCTGCCATTACTTTTTTTTTAAGATTTTATTTATTTGCGAGAGAGACAATGAGAGACAGAGAGCATGAGAGGGAGGAGGGTCAGAGGGAGAAGCAGACTCCCCGCTGAGCAGGGAGCCCGATGCGGGACTCGATCCAGGGACTCCAGGATCATGACCTGAGCCGAAGGCAGTCGCTTAACCAACTGAGCCACCCAGGCGCCCCCTGCCATTACTTCTTTAAGATAAGTTCCTAGAAGGGCAATTATTTAATCAAAGTATGTAAACCTTTTTCCCCCAAAGTTTTTGTTTTAATCGCATATTGCTGGGACACCTGGGTGGCTGAGTCGGCGAAGCATCTGCCTTCAGCTCAAGTCATGGTCCCAGGGTCCTGGGATTGAGCCCCGCATCATCCATCGGGGCTCTCTGCTCAGCGGGGAGCCTGCTTCTCCCTCTGCCCCTCCCCCCACTTGTGTGCATGCACGCTCTGACAAATAAAATCTTAAAAAAAAAAAAAGTAAAAAAGAAAAGCATGGGCCCCTCTCTCTGCTTTATGCTGTTGGGAGCACAGTACCCAGCATGTAAGGTGCACAAATACTGCATTTGCCCCTTCAGTGCACCCCACTTCAGCTCTCGTCTCAGGGGGGAGCAAACAAGCCCTCTCTTGGTCACTCTGGTTCAAGCCCATGTGGGGAAAGCAATGGCCTCTCCATGTCCTCGGTCCCCACTCAGCAGGCACTGCAGGGACTACTGTGGTTATGTTTCGTAAAAGAAAAAAAAAAAAAGTCTATCTTGGAGAAAGACACACTGAGGCGTTTACAAATGAAATGATACATAGTCTGGGGTTTGCTTTAGAATATTCCAGCGAGTATGAAGAAGAAGGGGAAGTAAATGAAGAAGAGGGGGAAGGGAAGGGAGGCACACAGGTATGGAGAGGAGGACAGGTAAAATAAAATTGGAAACACGTGCATCATTTCTCCATCTGAGTGATGGGTACATGGTGATCCATGATGCCAGCCTGTCTGTCCACTTTTGTCTGTGTCTGAGGTGTTCTGCAGTACCGAGTTTTTGGAGAAGTAGATGAACTGAATATTGCTATGAACCTAAAACGGCTCTAAAAAAATAAAGTCGATTAAAACAAATAACAAAACCAAAAAATTAAATAAGGAGGAAAAAAATAAAGACCACTCCAGTGAAATATATAAAAAATTTAAGTACCTACGTGTATATGCACATTTATACATACTCATACACATACACAAAGATCATTACAGTCTGAGGAATTCTGGAAGTAGGGCTTCCATCCCCATTTACAGAGGAAACTGGGGAGCAGAAAGGTCAAACCACCTGCCTAAGGTCACACAGCTAGTAAGAGGATCTCAGGTTTCTCTCAGTTGAATCCAGAGTGTCTCAACCTCAGCACTACTGACCTTTGGGGTCAGGTAATCCCTTGGTCGGGGGAGGCTGTCCTGTGCATTTCAGAATGTAGAATAGCGCCCCAGGCCTCCACCCACTAGGTGCCAGTAGCCCGCCCAGTTGTGACAACCAAAAATGGGTAGAACAACTCTGATGGAAAACAACTGCCCAACACAAAACCCCTTCACCCACCACCAGCCTGTCCACAAACACGCCGGAGACTTTGCCATGTGTCATTCGTTAAAGGATAGCTATGCTGTCTTATCCCCCAGAGGACCTGGCAGGCTCGTCCGCCCAGTCACAGCTTCCCATCAGCCAGGGAAGGCTTTGGGAAAGGGACGAGTGCGATGAGCCAAGAGAAGGAGCAGAAGCCAGTCCGGCGGGGGGGGGGGGGGGGGGGTCACATGACACATTCCGCCCCACTACCCTGGACTGCGCTCACTCTCCCCTTCCTCGGTTTGCGCCTGGGAAAGGGGCCCAGATGAGGCTGTTCTCTTTCCAGAGTCCAAGACACCGAAGCGGCCCTGGACAGGGAGCACCGTGTTTCAGTCACAGGCCAGGTGACAGACAGGTGGGGAGAAGGGGAGACAGCGGCCCAGGCAGCTCCGCCCCACTCCCCCAGCCCTGCGCGTCTCTCACCTGCTGCTCATGTAGGAGAAAGCGCTGAAAGTCGTGCAGGTAAACGGCGGAGGCGTCGGGCCGGTCGGTGTTGCTGCCCTCGGGGAAAGGGAGGGTATTTAGACAGGACACAATCCACAGAAGCTGCCACCAGACACACTGCAAGTCCCTCCCGGGAGACAAGGTGACAGACCCCACATCCCTGACGTCGGAGGATGCAAGGGGGGGGCCCTGACGCCCGAACCTGGGAGGTTGGGGCCCAGGAATCTGCATTTCGCTGCTCCCTTGTGCTGCCAACACACCCTGGGATCTGCAGAGCACCTCCGGGAGTGTGGCCTTGGGGGACGCAGTGCAGTAAGGCGATGCAGTGATGATGGAAAGCGGGAGGGCGGGGTGCGAATCCAGACCTGGAGGGCCAGGGAGGCTTTCTGGAGGATGCAGCAGCTGAGGGAGTCTCAGAATGAGGAGGGGCTCACGAGGAGGTGGAAAGGGTCTCCGCCAAAGGGAACTATACATGCAAAGGCCTAACGGAAAAGAGAAGGGGGAAAGGGGAGGAAGGGGGGAGAGAGCCATGGGGGGGGCAGACCTGAGCCATACAGCAAATGCTTAGGTAGGGCTGGATGTGGACAGCATTTCGGGGGAGCCGATGCTGGAGAAGTGAACAGGGGCCCATCAGAGGGTCTCCACAGAAGCCACAATGCAGAGTTTGCTGAGCCAGTGAGGGCTCTGAAGCAGGAGTGGGAGCCAGATGAAGCCCCCCCAGATTCTGGGTGGATGGGGAGAATCAGCCCGAAGATGCAAGACATAGGCTTTGGAGCAGGCAGAGGCCCAATGTTGGGAGGATTTTCTGTTTGAGACGAGGGAACCCTTTACCCTGAATACAGGGAGACTCCACCTCAGCCAGCAGCCTGCTGACAGATGGCCTCACAGGAGAGGATGCTCGCGGTTACTGAAATACTGGGACCTCACTGGACCAGCAACCCTGGTCTCTATGGAAAGTGTTTCTATATAACAGAGCTTTCCAGGGAAATCTGTACTTTACCCTGAGCATTTGCAAGGTGTCTCTGTGTGTGTATGTGTGTACTGAGGGTCGGGGGGGGGGGTCTTTTTAAATACAGGAGATAAAACACACTTTTAGCTGTTCCCTTTACTACACACTCAGGGTTCAAAAGTCTAATGTCTTTAATTACGAGTGTATCTGTAACCTTCTTTGCTAACCAGCCTCATGGTCTAACACTAACCTCTTCCTTAAAATACTGCATAAAAATCAAATCTGTTTCATATGTACTTTGCAGTCCTGAGGTTTCTGGTTTAGAAAGGGACAGAAGGATCAGCTGCCAGTGTTCTCATCAATGAGGGCTGGTTCTGAAAAGCAGGCCTAGGTCAGCATGTCACAAATCATTTTAGGTGCTGTTAACTCCAGACCAAACATTTTCCCAGGCAGTTAGACTTGGGAAACACAGAACACTTCATAAATCCCCCACTTGGGGAATTAGTAAGAATAGTGAAGGTCTTGGGGCGCCTAGGTAGGTCAGTCAGTTGAGCATCTGACCCTTGGTTTCGGCTCAGGTCATGATCTCAGGGTTGTGAGACTGAGCGCTGTGTTGGGCTCTGAGCTCAGCGCGGAGTCTGCTTGAGATTCTCTCTCTCCTCCTCCCTCTACCCCTCCCCCAGCTCACTTGTACTTTCTCTAAAATAAATAAATACATCTTTAAAAGAAAAAAAAGAACAGTAAAGGTCCTGAGAAGTCCCGCAGCACTTACACTGTAATAATAATACCATCATCCCTATTACAAGCCCTTTGCCACCCCACACACCACATGAAGCACTTTATATGCGTCGACTTATTTTAGTTCACTTAAACCTGTTTAACCAGGAATTTCCCAAATTCCTTTCTGGGAAAGCAGGTCCTAAGGCATACAGGCTTCTCTACAGAACCTTCTAGGCCACCCTCCCACCACTCCACAAACCCTGTTGCGGTTCATGTTTATCCATGCCACGGCTCGGGAAAGCCAATCCCCCTGTAGGAGACCTTGTCTGTGGAGACCAGCGGCTACCCACAGAGGTGGCCCTCCTGGCACCAGCTGGCCCAACTGGGAGGCTCCACAAGGGCACCTGTGCCCAGCACAGCCACCCCGAACAATACCCCAGAAGAGGTGCCTCACCCCAAGATAAACACGGAAGAATCTTTTTTGAATTCATCAAGAATCTGAAATAGAAGACAGAAGAAAAACACATAAAAAAATAAGAACATTAGACAAATCAAGCCACTCAATGCAAATGAACAGTTTTTTATTAAAAAATTTTAATTGGTATGACTTATAAACAGGCAAATATGGCAGAAACTTACTTATGAAACAAAAGGGAGAAGTCTTCCTCACCCTCCTTCTTAGTCTTACTCCTGAGAAGTAATCAATCTCAGTAATTTGGTAGGTTTCCTTCTAGAATGTGTTTGATGGATATTCATTTAATTATATCTTACGGTACGTGTGTGTCTCCAAACTTTACGCTGTTTATTTTAGGCTTTACATATTATTCTGCAACCTCAAATAGTCTTGCCTCCCTACTTTGAAAACTTTGTATTCCATAATATGTACATCACTGATGTTAGGTAGCATTACTTAACCATCTTTAATGAGACTGTGATTAGATAAGCATTTGAGAAATTGAGGGCACGGGGCGCCTGGGTGGCTCAGTCAGTTAAGCGTCTGCCTTTGGCTCAGGTCATGATCCTGGGGTCCCGGGACTGAGCCCCACGTCTGGCTCTGCTCAGTGGGGAGCCTGCTTCTCCCTCTCCCTCTGCCCCTCCCCCTGCTCAGGCACACACACACACTCTCTCTCTCTCTCTCTCTCAAATAAATAAAATCTTAAAAAAAAAAAAAAAAGAAAAGAAAAATTCAGGGCACAAATGGAAATGCATCCACTGGCACGTTACAAGCACTAATAATATAAATGGCACTTCTGCTCTGGACCCCCCGGCCCTCTTGCCAAGCTGCTTGGAGTCCAGGATGACACGTGGAAAACCAACCTTCTGGAAAAATTCTCTACAGGCCCCCAGGAAGCATCAGGAGGTCTGTGTAAATCTCCACTCGTATGTATTTTTTTTTCTGGGAAGATAATCTATAGCTTTAATCAGCATCTCAAAGAAATAGGTCACCCAAAAAGGTTAAGAGCCACTCTTTCAGAAAAACTCAGAAGTACTTCCTTCTATTTACGTGCAATTTACAGCATAGCTATTTCTTTATTTAAAAAAAAGAAAAAAGAAGGGGATTTGGGGCAGTGTGTGCTCTTTGGGATTTGGACTCATTTGCCACTTAGATTCCTAGATCGACCTGGTGTTTAAGGCCAGATCCCTTCCAAACCCAAACCCCAAGACTGGTCTCCTTATACCTGGAGAAAGCCCAGTCAATTATCCACTCTATTAGATCTTTAAAGCCAGCAGGTTCCTCTCCTTCTTTTCAATGAAGCACCAAAAAAGCTCCACCCCATTTCAGCCAGGTGGACAGCTGGGACAAAGGAGGTGCCCCTATTGCAGAGATGCTTCCAGAGCCAGAAAATATGGGGAGAAACACCCCAGCTTCCCCTCTCATATGCCTGTGTCTCCATCCTGGCCACCCCACTTGCTGAACCTGCTAGCAGAGGCACCTAGGAATGTATTTGTGGGAATCAGCACCCCCAGGGTACAGAGCAGGGCAGGGAAAGGATTAAAAGCCAAAAGGCTCACCACTTGCACAAGCAGAAGCAGAATTCAAAGATGTAACACAACAGGGCAGGTGTGGGGGTGGGGGTCATGGGGAAAGGAAGGTAGAAGGCAAGAAGATTCCCGGGCCCACCCAACAGAGCGGCCAGTCACACACCCACTGCAGGGGAGGCTGGGGAGAGCGGAGAAGCATCAAGCGGTCTCTTTTGGACACTACAGCGTGAGATGCAAGGCAAGCAGGCAGTTAGAGGGGAGAGTCTGGATAAGCACAGGCCCTGCTTGGGATGACCAACCTTCAGACACCAAGAAATCAGAGACCCAGCCAAGGATGTTGTGAGCGAAGTGAGAGGAGAATGCAGACAAATGGCTTTGTCAGCGTGGAGGTCACTGGTGAGATGACAAGATGAACTGCCGTGGGGGTTGGCGGGGGGAGGCTTGGACACATGGCTGGGACAGGCTCAGGAGACAGAGAGGGGGAGGCGGGTGCAGACAGTGATGCTGATGGTGCTGCTGGACAGGTCCCGGGGCAGAGAGATGCGGCAGCAGTCGGACGGGGGGGACGTGTCAGGGAGGGCATTCTATCGAAGGAAGAGGTTACAGCATGTGTTATGGGTACATATGTGGCCCCCAAAAGATCTGTGCAAGCCCCAACCCCTCCCCGCTCCATTGCGAATGTGATCTTATTTGGAAATCAGATCTTTGCAGATGTGATCAAGTGAAGGCAAGGTCCTCCTGGATTAGGACGGGCCCTAATGCCATGACTAGAGTCCTTACAAAGGGGGACATCTGGAGCAGGCACAGACCAGGACAAGGTGGCCACGTGATGACAGAGGCAGAGACGGGGGGGCGAGAAGCACCCAGGATGGCCAGCAAACAGCAGAAGCGAGGAGAGTGGCAAGAAGCAGATCCTCCCCAGAGACGTCAGTGGGCCCTCAGCGCTTTTGGCACCCGGACCGCGAGAGACAGAGGTTTGTTCTCTCTTCAGCCACTTAGCTGGGGTCTGTCGGGGCAGCCCTGGGGAACTCACAGGGCTTGTCGTGAGCTGATGCAGGGCAGCCACAACCTCAGCTACCCCTCGTGCCCCTCTCATGAGGAAGGCAGTAAAACAAACCCCACGTCAGTCACAGACTTCCCCCCCCTTTCTCTGGGAGTACAAGCGGGTGTTCCAAGATGACATATCTAGAATGTCATGGGGTCAGAATTTCAAACCTGGTCTACCTTGGCACTTCTCCACTGTCCCATACGATACGTGCAAATGCACACAGAGTAAATAATGGCATCCTAGCAATGAGAGAAGAATATTCTAGATGCTATAGGCACACAGTGGAGAGACAGCAATTAAGTCATTCTACCATTACTGTGTGGGGTTATGTGGTCAAAGTCTACCAAACCAGGACATTGTTGGCTCCGTGTGACTAGAGGTGACATCCTTGACCCCTTTGGCCCCAGCAAAGGAACTATGAGGTCAGGGGAGATGTCTGTTTTATTAACCACTGTGACATCCTGGCTCAAATGTGTGTTGAATGAATGCCTAAAATAATGGACAAATTAATTTTCTCTGGGGATAACTGAAGGCTACAAGGAAGAGTCACCTTTGACTTCTGATTCCCAGGAGACAAGGGAAGGGACTGTGCCAAAGGATGGGGACTACAAAAGCAAGGGCCCAGAGGCGTCGAGGTCAACCTGAGGTCAGGGAATGAGTCTCCCCACGTGGCCGGCGGGGGGCGGGGGGGGGGCAGCGCACCCTCCAGGCTACGACTCGCCCTACACCCTCTGTGCGTAGCAGGTTACGTGAGCCATTCAGTGCCAGGAGGCCAAGGGGAAAATGACAGTGACAGAAAAAGTTAACCAGAGATTCACTGCTGACTTCTGTACTGTGGACGGTTCTCCCCATCCCACCCCCCCCCCCACCGCCCATTAGAATAATCTGCAATATTCTCTGGAATCCTCAGCCAGAATACCATTATAGAATGTGACTCACTTCCCACACACTGGCACCCATGTAAAAGCTCAAAGAATAAATATTAATCTTTCTCCTCAACGTATAATCATAGAAGGTTTGGAGACATTTTACTTATCTTTTTATTTGTATGAGTTTCCTACTTCTATGTAGTAAGTATGCGTTACTTTGCTTATCACACAATTTATTGAAACATCAGAAATGAATTTCCAATCAAGGGCTGCCTGGTCCTGTGCTTCAGCAGTGAGGTATCAAAGGACCCCCCTGGGAAACCCACTGACTCTGACCAAGATGGTCCTGTTGAAGCACCAAGGCAAGCTGTAGTCCCTTCTTCCCGAGGTAATTCTGCCACAGGAAAGGACAGGCTGTCCTGGGGGCCAGCTGTGCGCTGGATGCTCTGCTGGGGGACTGCTCTCGACGAGCCCTCTTTATCTTCTCAATAAGCCTGGAGGGTGGGTACCATCACCCCCATGTAACAGAAAAGACTGAGCATCTGGAAACTTAATACTGCTCTCAGCTACAAGTAACACGAAAGCAAGGTTAGTGCCACCTTTAAAAAAGTTATAGCTAATTTTTTTTTTATTTGACAGAGAGAGAGACAGCAAGAGAGGGAACACAAGCAGGGAGAGTGTGAGAGGGAGAAGCAGGCTTCCCGCCGAGCAGGGAGCCCGATGCGGGGCTCGATCCCAGGACCCTGAGACCATGACCTGAGCCGAAGGCAGACACTTAATGACTGAGCCACCCAGACACCCCTATTTTCTGTCTTAACAGGCAAACAAGCAATGGAAGACACCTACATTCAGAGTCCAGGGGGGTGGTGATGGATGGTAGAAGGCCGTGTGTGCTTGTTTTCTGGTACCTTGCAGGGTTGGGAAGGCACCTGTTGTTTGAATCGCACTGGACACGATCTGGGAGCTGATGATTATTTGGGAGCTGCTGGAGAGCAACTCTGAATCTTGGGTTTATGGGAACCCATGGTGGACAGAATTTTAAGGTGGCCCCAGGATGTTCTCCTCCCAGTGTCCACACCCCTGCATTTCCCTGCCACTTGCAAAAGTAATGGGATGTACATGATTATGTGTCTCGGACTGTAAGATGCCGCTATCACGATTGAGCACCTGTCTTGCCGCCTTTGAGGAAGCCACCACCCATGCAGGAGAGCTCCATCCATCAGAGGGAGCTACGGGCAGCATCTAGGAGCTGTGGGTGGCCTCTGGCCAGCAAGAAACTGAACCCTCAGTCCTACACCTGCAAGGAACTCATTGTTCCACAACCTCATGAGCTTGGAAGCAGATCTTCTCCCACTTGAGCCTCAGATGAGACCAGAGCCTCGGGCTGAAATCAGATGAGACCCCAAAGCAGAGAATCCAGCTAAATACCCGAGCTCCAGAAACTGAAAGAACAATGAACATCATGGTGATACTGTTCTGCAGCTAATGCAGAACCCTAACACATTTCCTAAGGTATCTACCGGAGGGTACAGAGAATAGATCATACGGAAGGGCACGGGGTAAAAACCGATGAACAATAACCTGACCACCGCATCCCACAGGGGTGAAACTCGAATCCTGGACCAAGAGCAAGAAGGAAATTAACCAGCCATCCTCACTGCGGATCAGAGCCTGTGAGTACCTGATGCCCAGCTGCCACTAACCCAGTTTGGTGGGGAGGCAGCAGAGCAGCAGAAGCTGGGTATTCAAGCATTTAAGGGAGAAATAATACAAAATCCCCTGAGCAGAGGGTTTGCTTCAAAATCCCCTGAGCAGAGGGAAGTGGGTAAGAGCAAGATGAAATAGGAGAGCCATGAGTTGATCACTGCTGAAGCTGGCTGATGGGTACATGGAGTTTGTTACACTATCACCTCTGCTGATGTATGTTTGAAATTTCCCTGGATACAAATGTTTTAAAAATTAAAAACAAGTTATCAGTGGCTGGGCACCAAAGTTGGGCAGAAGGGAACTCAAATCCTAGCTCTGCAGCTTATTGTATAGTAACCTAGTTTACAGGTTACTGTATAACCTCCAGCAAGTAATCTCTCCGAGACTCAGGCTCTTCATCTGTAAAACGGGGATAACAACAGTGCCTCTCACACAATTAGAGAAGAGAATTAGATGCACGGACAACACTTAGCACAGCACCCAGCGAATAGTTTACACTTAAGAAATGTTCGCTATGCTCTTTATTCATAATATTGTTCATACAGCCCAGTTAGAGGCATATCACGGGGGACACACATGGAATTAAGTTTCTTGTCCTCCTGCTGCTGCCAAACTTTGAGAAGCTTTGAGGCTTGACAGCAGCAATGTAAGCAGGTGGTCAGACACAGGTTTCCTCAAGCTGGGAACCGATAGCTGCTGATGAGCAGGAACCCACTCCTGGATCTAGGCTGGGGGGTTGTCTCTCACCATAAACAGCTCTGTCTCCCCAAAGGAGCCTAAGAAATCCAGCTGAGCCTCTAAAGAGCACACAGCTATTGCTTTTCTGTGCTGTGTGCTGCCAGCGAGGAACTCAGGAAGTAAATTATATGCTGACCCTAGGGGAGGGGCGTTTACCTGCACAAGAGTAGTGAGGTTTCTCAAGCTGGCCATTAACTACCTATAGAGCTTAGGGCTTTGTTATCCAAATTCCAAGTCAGTTCTACCCTCTAGTGCTAGAGAGCCAAAGTCTTTGGGGCCCCGTAGGCAACATAAATTAGTAGAGAGCTGGGGGGTGGGGTGGGAGCTGGGCAAACCAGAGAAGGCTTGATTCCTTCCTACTCAGAAGTCCTCATGGGGAACTCAGGACCCATATATAGCCACATGTCATTTTTTTTTTTCCAAAAGCAGCAGAAAATCTAGATCTTTTTTTTTTTTTTTTAACGATATTATTTATTTATTTGACAGAGAGAGACACAGCGAGAGAGGGAACACAAGCAGGGAGAGTGGGAGAGGGAGAAGCGGACTTCCCTCCGAGCAGGGAGCCCGATGCGGGGCTCGATCCCAGGACCCTGGGATCATGACCTGAGCCGAAGGCAGACACTTAACAACTGAGCCACCCAGGTGCCCCCAGAAAATCTAGATCTTAATGTGGAATCTCTTAAGTTTTAAATGTAGGCAATTCATTTTAAAAATATTTAAAGCATTAGGCCAAGTCCAACAGAATGCAGGCTCAAGGTGGTATTCTGGCCAACAGAAGCAACCTCTGGTACAGATGTTTTCCCCCCAAAACTGGGCAATCTAAGTTATCCCCAGAGGATTCGGGGATTCTGCAGAAATCTGACTCAAATGTCTTCTTCCTCTTCTCCCTCCCAAACACACACACATTAGCCTTAAAAAGAACTGTAACAAAAGTGCAGGTTGAAATAAGTCTTACGTGGAATTTTATCATAGTGGAAACAGACCACCAATGAGTTAACCTGTGCTGGCAGATGAAATAGCTTTTGTGCAAACCTTATTCTCAAGCTTCGCCTGCCATCTGTCTGAGACAGCATCCTGAAATTTCAAGGCAACTGATTATAAAAACTGTTATTTGCAACTACTTATCTTGAGTGAATCCAGCTTTTCTCAATCCCGGTCAATTGCGTAAGACAGCAACTGTCATTATTCTGGATTTCACTTGTACATTGTCATCAAAACATTTTCATTGTTCTCAAGAACTGATTTTAAATAAAACAGATTTTAACCTGAAAAACGTGTTTTGATCAGCTTTTATACAGTTTTTTTAAATTAAGTTTTCATATAAAAAAGGGCAGGCAGGTTATATAATTTTAAAAGTTTCATAACCAATGACCTGATTTGATACCTTTATTTTACAGAGGTGGCTGAGTGAACAGGAAAAAGATGACTTTCCCCAAAATCACTTGTGGTCAGCCAAGGTCAAGCTGGGGCTGAACTCCAGGACTTTCAATCCCCAAAACCTACAGAGTCTTTCTACTCTATGTGGCAAACCAAGAACTAATATGTGAAAATCAACACAATGCAATGGAATGTTTTACTCTATAAAATACTGTATTTTCCTCCAATCTAGGCAGACTAGAAATGCTGCCCCCATTTCTTTGCCTCAGATACATCCCAAATCCCACAGCCAACCATCACCTATCAAGAAGCCTCATCCTGGGCGCCTGGGTGGCTCAGATGGTTAGGTGTCTGCCTTCAGCTCAGGTCATGATCTCAGGGTCCTGGGATCGAGTCCCGCATCAGGCTCCCTGCTCCTTGGGAGCCTGCTTCTCCCTCTGCCTTTCTCTCTCGCTCTGTCTCTCATGAATAAAAAAAAAAAAAAAAAAAGAAGCCTCATCCTGTGCCCACTGGAAGCCTGCATGCAGAAGGCAATTAATAAGTGTCTTCTAGCAACTGTGTGTGTTCTTTTTTTTTTATTAGTAGGCACCATGCCCAACATGGGGCTTGAACTTCACAACCCTAAGATCAAGAGTAGTGTGCTCTACCAACTGAGCCAGCCAAGAGCCCCCCTTCTAGTGACTTTCATATGCTCATCATTTAAAAATGCCTGCACTATTGACCTCCCCGTTCCAAGCCCTCATTCAATCCTCCCTAAAGCCCAGTGGGGCCGGAATCCCTGCCCCCGTCACACAGATGAGTAGACTGAGGCTGAGTGTGGTGGGTGGCCAGCCCTGGATCACACAGCTAGTTGGAGAAACCAGATCTCCAGCTCCAAGTCCCACATCCCCTCTGCTCTGCAGCTCTGCTCTGGACCCACCTCTGCCACCTGCAAAGCCCTTCTCCGACAGCAGAGGCTCCTGTTTGTGGGGTGTGCACCACCCACCAGGCACTGCGCACCATGCACCGAACCCCACTTTTTAAGCTTTACACTTAATGGAATTTTTTCTTCTCGTGAAAGTAATGTGCTCTTCGGAACAAGTCAAAGAAAACGGAGGTGTGCAAAGGAAAATGCAATCATGTCTCCTGCCCATCTTCCCAAGCCCCTTCAATACACAGACAAAAATCAACATTAGTGTGTATTCTTCCACACTTTTTCCTTTGTTCATAAAACACACAGAGACATATGGAGGAGGATTATTATATCCTGGTTTTGGTTTGGGTTTTTCATCAGACCTAGTTCCTCGCTTGAATCTGCCGCTGGCTTTGCTCACAAAATATCATGAACATCCCTCCAGATCAACCAACACACAGACTCAGACTTCTTAATCAGCTGCATAAGATTGCGTGGTAGGGATTGACCATAATTTACTTAGCTATTTCTCTACTGAGAAGCAGGCAGATGGCTCCCAGGTATTTTGCCTGCCTAAGTAATGCTGCAATAAACAATCTGGTAATAAATTCCTAGGTCCCCGTGCCCTCATTTCTCTCAAACAGAGTCCCCAAAATGCCACTGTCAGGTCAAAATGTATGCATATCTTAATTTAATTTTAAAATGGCATATTATCTTAATAAAAAATATTCTCATAAATAATGAATAAAAGCATAAAAAGAAGGAACACACACATAATCCCTCCACCCAGAGATGGCTCCCCTTAATAATTTGATAAATTTCCTTCCACAACGAGATCATGCAGCCAAGTTAATGGGACTTTTTTACTTTAATAGGCTGCAATTCCAGACTTCTCACATTCCCACCAGGAGGGTATGAAAGAGCCATTCCCCCATTTTCCCCATAGCTCTCTCACGTGTCTATAATCTAACAGTTGCAAATAGTATATCCCAGTCATTCCCACCATGCCTTTCCTTGACAAGAACGGACACTCAACACTTCTATTGGGTTTCTTAGGAACGTGCCAGACTTTGAAACACAGGGGAAACAAAGACATCATTTGATCCTTTGCTCAAGAATTATCTTACCGACTTTTGCTGCTCAAACATAAGTTTTTTATAGAACACGTGGAACTGCTCAAAGCTGAGTTCGTCTTTGTGCGCACCGATTTCCTGTAAATTAAAAAAAAAAAAGTGACCACGTGATCTCTGAAGTCCCCAGGAGCAGGCCCCGCACTGTGACCAGGCGGAAGGGCTGATCTACAGCCCTGGTTACAAGCAAACTCACCTTCCTCTGAACCTAAACTGTCCACAGGTTTCCTCATGTATCTGCCTGGAGAACATACCCACCAGGGGCCCCACCGGGTAAGATCCTGCTCTTGCCCTTCACAACAGAAGAGATTTGGCCAGAATTCTAAGAGCGGTAATGCAGAACTCCTCCCTCTGGGGGCAGAAGACACTTCCAAATCCAGGCCTAGCACAGGGTCATTCTAAAAGCATGGGAAAACTAACCAAGCCTTTGGAGTTAGAGCTCAACTCCAGTCAAGGCTTGTCCCCCGAATTGCTTATGGTTTGGGTAATTTACCTGATCCATTCAGACCGTCAGTTTCTTCATCTATAAAATGGGAAAACAACCACCGCCCTCCCTAGGACTTCCCCAAAACCAAACCAATAACATCTACGTATCGCCAGCTCAGGAAAGCCTTGATAAAGAACAAGATTCCAACGATGTGACGATCGATGGTAAATGCTCCCCGTCTCTGTTTCTGCCTTCTTAGAATAGTTGGAACGTTCCAGGCAGGTCAAAAGATGGCTTGATAGCCAGAAAATGGGTTAACTCTTCCGAGAGCTCACTGGTACAAAAATGAATGCACTTTTGTGGCTGAGGAAGCCTGTGACTGGGGCTGCCACTGGGAAGGCCACGTGAGTCCTGCAACTGGAGCTAGGGAGACAGAGTGTCACAGAGTTCCTTGACAAGAGTCGGGATCTCTCTGAGCACCAGTCAGGGGGCCTACACATCTTCATCCTAACCCCTTTCGGGAAGGCCCCACCTGCCCTACCCTGCACCATCACTCTCGGAGTGACTTAACCTGCCACAGATCTGCCAACAGCTTAATTACACCAGACCGTAACCCAAACTAAATGATGGGTGGGAGGACAGCTGAGTGGGAAGTGGGGGGAAAGCCAGGGAAGAGCCAACTCGGACAACTAGGTTGTGAGGACTTGGATACAAAACGCCACGCCCCTGCCAACCAACATAAGGAACCTTTCATAATATTTTCCAAAAGAAACACATTAGTTCGTGTTACTTGAAGGAAAGTAGGCTGCAGAACGGTGAGGAAATGGAAAGGCTATCCTGGTGGGAGCAAGTCAAGCAGCTCAGCAAACATGGTCCTTGTGGAGGACGTCCTCAGCTAGGTCTGCGAATGGGGTGCTACGACCTTCACGTGGTTCCTCTGTCTGGACTGGGACAGATGCATCTGGAGGTGAAGGATTCTCTTGGGCACCATTTGACAGGGCTCAAAGGCTAAGTGACCCTAAGTTCACAAAATCGCCAGGCCAGCCAAGCTAGGAAACTTACCACAAACTTATCTTTGAGGAACTTGGCACTGTTCACTTTGAAGTTGACCAGGGGTAAGATGGTCTTCAACTCTCGGAGGCTGATGCTGCAAAAGAGGGAAACCCCAGCTCTATTGACCTCAAGGGGCAGACATGAAACGTCCCAAGGGTTCAAACCAAGGGCGGGGGGGCGGTCACAGAAGGCCGGAGGGGAAAGGGGAAGGATCCAGCCTCACAGGAGCCCCTACTATGTGCCAGGCTGCCCTGGTGTCATCCAGGCAATAATGTTACCTAACGCCTCCCTACACCTGACCCCCTACACAGGAAGCATGACCCACCCTCGGGTTTCAGAACAGGCAACGGGGGAGGGGTCTGGGAGGGATACGCTGCTCTAGGTCAGAGCTGGGTGACAACAGAGCCCGGGTTTGAATCAAATCCCAAAAGGTATAGTCATGTGGACCACATCACAGAAACCCCCAGGCATGCTTTTCACTTGGGCCAGGGGGCAAGTTCAGTTGCAGAGGAAAGAAGGGGAGAGCACATTCTGAGCAAAAGAAATACCTGTAGCAGCTCTCGTTAATAACAGTAGCGACTGGAACTTCAGCCGCGCATATTCAATGCCAGGCATATTCAATGCCAGGCACCGCTCCAGGGGGTGAACGGATGCACAGACACATACCCCCTCCATGCTCTCACGACCTCCTGGGGTGGGTACCATCACCACCTCCACATCCCGGGTGAGGACACGGACTCAGAAGGTTCGGAGCTGGGAGATGGGGGAGGTGGACTCCAGGGCATTTCCCCACCTCTCCAGGGACAGCACGAACAGTGGGGAAGTGGGGGGTGGGGTGGGGGGGTCAAGGGCATGGCATCCAGACCCCTGCAGCTACAGAGCCGAGTGTCTGCTAGAGCGAGAGAGGGTGGTCTGGGGGTGCTGTTGGTATGGTCAGAGAAAACTGCTCTGTGTTCTGGAGACGTCCGACTGGACCGGGCTGTGCATGGCCAAGGAAGGAAGCCAGTCCAGGATGTGGGCAGAAAATGGCCGAGTTTCCCCAACGCTGTCAACTCGGCCTCTGCCGGTACATCCGGAGAGAAGCAGCACGTTACCCTCCGCAGCTGGCCCTGCAGACAACGAAGTGGGACTCCCGGATGTCCCAGTGTCCCCACCGCCAGCCTTTCTACCTCTAGTCTAACAGCCTCCCTAACATCAGACATCTTCACCTGCAAGAGGCTTCCCTGCGCCCCACTACTACAGGGTCAGCACCAAGGGCTTTCCCAGAAATGAGAGCAACAACATCAGGTGGGGCTGGCCGGGCAGAGAATCAAGCAGGCTGGCTGAGACCCCCTTTCGGACCCAGCCCCCGGGATGTCCAGCAAGGCCTGGCCAGGAACAGAACGAAAAGAGAGGAGCAACAGGGTCTGGTGCCCCAAGACGGGGCAAGGAGAGGGTGTGGCCAAGCTGGTGGCCCTGCAGGGCTCATCCAGCACCAAGGAAGAGGTCAGAGTCCCCTGGGGAACCCAGAACCTCTAGGCAGAAACAGGGTCAAGAAACCTCCCTACCTCCAGGTACAGAGACAGGGGGGCTGGGAGCCAGTGGAGCAAACCAGACCTGGGGGCACAAGACTCTGAGCAACGGGGCACCCGAATCCACCTGCTCCAAAAGTCCCACCTTACAGCAGACCAATGGAGCCCCCAGGTAAAGGTGGGGGCCACAGAGCTTCCTTGGGCTCCTGTGCTGGGACTCTGCCGCTCCACGCCCCCCACTCTAGGCCTGTGGGTCTGGGCTGCACCGCCTGACCCTGAGCCAGGACAGGCACAGGGGCTCCCCAGCTGCTGGAGGGGAAGAATCCAGCAGCGCCCAACCTCACCCCTCTCCCCATCCTCAGATGAAGAGAGTGCCTCAGCAAGGTCGAATCCAGCATCCCCAACCCTCTCAGGACCTCAAGGGAGGACGGCTCTGGAGGCCGTGGCTGTGACCACGGCAGCTAATTCCTGCCAGTACGCACAGGTGTCCCTCCCCCACGCCCTCCCCAGTAAGCTTCCTGCACACTAACACCCATCTCAGATTCTGCTTCCTGCAGGCTCAGCCTGTGACCGTGGGTTAGGAACCAGGGCAATTCCTCTGGAGAGGGAAGGCTAGAAATGGTCCCCACCACAGGCCACACAGAGCCCCTCCCCCTTCCACAGCAGGCATCACTCCACAATCGTGGCACCTCCCCCTGCCGGCCTGGCACCGTCCCAGCTCCTACAGCACCGTACCCCAGCAGCCTTGACCACGCTGCCCCAGGAAACCTACCTGCCACGGGAGGCTGGACCGACACCTCTACCACCCCCGGGGTTCTTAGAGCAGTAAGGACAATCTTAAGCCTCTGTCAGTGCTCACCATAAGCCGGGCACCATCTAAGCACTTTCACATACCCACCCACTGAGACCTCACACCAACCCAGGGAGGCAGCAACTATTAGCTCTCTCTTACAGACTAGAAAACTAAGGCACAGAGAAATTAAGTAATTTACCCGAACTCACACAACCAATAAGTGTTGAAGCAGAGATTCAAACCTCACCACTGCCCAACAGAACTTTCTATGATGATGGCAGTGTTCTAGATCTGGGCTGGCCGATGGGGTAGCCACTAGTCACATGTGGCTACTGAGCATCTGAAATGTGGCTAACATGACCCAGGAACTAAATTTTATTTAATTTTAATTAATTTAAATAGCCACCTATAGCTAGGGGCCACCGTATTGGACAGAGCAGCTCTAGAGGATCCTTTTCTAAGTAGAGTCCCAGGACCACCGGCACCAACATCAGCTGGGAATTTGTTAGAAATGCAAAATTCTTGAGCCCCAGGCTAGACCCAGTGAAGCAGGATCTCTGCTGGGGAGACTGCACATACCTAAGGCCAAAGCCCCCAGGCAGTCCCAGTGGGCTGGGGCCACACTATTACCTGCATAATACCTCCCTGCATTCCTGCTGAAGGAGAGACCCGGACCCACATCCCTGTCTCCCACCTGGAACCCCTGGCCCTTCTGCCTCCTGAAACACAACACAGTCTTCCCTCTGCCCCTGCCAGGCTGAAGGAAAACGGGCAGCCCACCCTTAGCCGATGCAAATTCCATGTTATATGCCCAGGGGCAAAAGGCAAAGGAGGGAAAGAAATGTCCACAGGAGACAATCTGCTCCCAACCCTGAGGCCCCTGCCCCTCCGTGGGACGCAGCCATGGTGAGCCTCCCACCAGGGAACACAACTCCAGGGACCCTCACAGAAGGTTCGCTGGGGGAGGGGGGGTTTCTCAAGGGGTATTTTGATCACAGAAATATTCACCTTTTGCACAACCTCAGAACCTAATTCCCTGATAAGAGACAACTAAACTCTAAAGGCTCAAAGATGGGGGTGTGGGTGGGCGTTGCCTCTAAAAATCCAGCCAAGAGTTACTGTTAAAGAACTGACACTTCTGACTCAGTCTCTGCAGGCCTGGAAATGTCATAAGGAAAGCTTCCCAAGCTAGAATGTTCCATTTGCTCAATGTTATGTCTAGGAATGAAAGGGAGAACTTCCTTTCATCTGACAAACACTAGGAAGACCAAACCAGCCAGACCCCTGACCTCAAGGCGCCCCCGCCAACGTGAGCGGCAACAAGAAGGTAAGACTCCAGGAAAGCAGAGCATGTCTGTCCAATGGGGGACTGCGGAGTCATGGTACAAGGACCAAGAATCCTACAGTGGCCCTGAAAATGCTTCTCGTGAGGGTCACATCCTATGTTTACTTGGAACATGATTCGGTACTAATGTGAACATAAGGAAAAACTGGACATAGATTAAATGACAAAAGACAACTTTTCAAACCAAGTATCACATTCCCATTGGTTGATTTCTAACGTAGGCACGGACATCACTTTCCTGAAGAGCTGCAAGGAAGTGGAGACGTTCTTATGCTGTAACGTGATGTGAAAATGGTTTAATCCTCGCCTCCTTTAGGGTGGGCTGGATTCAGCGATTTATTCCCAAAGAATGGTGGTGGGGTGACTTTACAAAGGGCCATCTTCCCAATACCACCTTGGCCAGGGGATCAAGAGTGACATCACCACTGACAAGCCCTGAAGAGAACACACAGCCCTCAATGTGATGACAGGACAAAGAAGACTTTCCCCTCTGTGATATTCTTCCCAAACACCCACAACCTCAGCCTACCCATGACTCCTGCCTCATCATGACAAAAATGTCAGACCAACACGAACTAAGGGAGATGCTAGAAGATACCTGGGTGTATTCCCCAAAACCGTCAAGGTCGTCAGGGAAGATGGAGAAACTGTCCCGACCCAGAGTAGACCAAGGGGAAGAACAATGCAGTGTAACGGGGCCGGGGGGGCGGGGGAGGGCGGTTACATCTGGAACCAGGAAGAGCACGTCGGTGGGGAAATAGTGAGCTCCCCATCAAGTCCAGGGCTCAGTTCAGAGTCCTGTGCCGATGCTGTTTCCTCAGTTTCCACAAACACGACGTGGCAATGCACGAGGGGAGCATGAGAGAAACCTGGGCAGACGGGTATTTGGGGACTTCCTGTACTATCTTCGCAACTTTTCTCTAAATGTAAAGTTAACCCCAAATTTATTTTTTTTAAAGATTTTATTTGAGAGAGAGAGAGAGCACGCATGTGTGCACATGCACAAGCAGGGGGAGCAGCAGAGAAAGAGGGAGAAGCAGACTCCCCGCTGAGCAGGGAGCCCGATGCAGGGCTCGATTCCAGGACCCTGGGATCACAACTTGAGCCAAAGGCAGATGCTTAACCGACTGAGCCACCCAGGTGCCCCTCCCCAAATTTAGAAATTAAAGAAGAATAGGAAAAAAGATCATATGTGTAATTAGATTTTAATGAAGTAAAATAAACAAGTAAAAAAACAAAGCTGAAACAAACTGTAGCTGGGGTTCATGGTATGTAACATTTATTAATATCACATTTATACAAATTCTAGTTCTCAGAATTTATAAAATTTTCTATAATGAACATGAATTACTTTTATATTTAAAAAAAAAATCTATGTGCACTTTTTCAAATGGTAATGCTAAAGAAAAGCATAATGAAGAATAGAATGAATGAAAAATAATAGG